CCAGATCTTCTGAACTTGGTATTTCTTAGCGAAATCTCTAAATTCTTTCGCAACAAATTGAGGACCATTGTCACAAATTATATGTTGAGGTACTCCATAGGTAAGAAAAACTTCATTCTCAAGATACTTCACAATATAGGGAGATTTTGATGAACGCAACGGACACAGAAGAACGTACTTCGAAAACCAATCGCCAACAACTAAAAGCCACTTATGACCCTTTTTTGATCTAGGAAAAGGACCCATAAGATCTAAAGCAATTGTCTGAAAAGGCATATTAACTTGCTTTTCTTTTCCCATCTTACCTAACGGCATAGTATTAGAAGATTTTTGAGCTCCGCAAACACGACAACTCCTAACAAATTTAAGAACATCGGCTCTCATCTTGGGCCAAAAAATTGTTCTTGAAGTCTTGATAAAGTCTTATAGAAACCCAAATGCGAACAAGTTGGCGGATTATGACATGATTCGATAATATTACGACGTTGAGGACGTGGAACAACCTTCTTCCATTCTTGAAGATTTGATGAAAATGGTAGCTGTACCGGAATAAACTTAAAAAGAAAACCATCTTCAACTTTCCACTGTGGAAATGAACCAGGTGAAGCTAAAATCTTTTGCTTCATAGTCTCATACCATGCGTCAGTATGGTCTAAATCTATATTCAAAACGGAAATTTGCGGACATACAAAAGAATCATTATCTGAAATATCTGAAGGAGAAACTTTATGATTGGTAGTGGTGGATCTATAAAAATTCTTAACACATAATAACCACTTCTTCCAATCAGATTCTGAAAATAAATTTCTGGGTTTGAATTTTTGAACTGCACGACCAGAAACACGAGTTCGTCCAATTAGTTTTTTGAACATTTGGGACACGCCGGTGACTTAACACCTAAATTACCACATTTAAAACAAAAAACCTTACGTTTCTGTCGACAATCATGAAATGTATGATTTGGACCAGAACAATTCCAACAAACTAAACGCGAGGTTGCTTCCTTACCTGAATTTTCTACAGATCTGGGCATACTCGAAGAAGTATTTACCATATCAGGGTCAGAAGACGACGACGCTACAGAATAACTAGCAGACCGAACAGTAGTATTTTTATTTTTGTTTTGAGCATTGACATTCTTAGACTTTTTACAAAACTGTACTCGATGAGAATCAGACGAGCTAGAATCAGGAGTGGTATTCAATTGAGAAACATTTAAACTTCTAGATCGTTTTTCATTCTGATGTTTAGCATTTTCTAATTTTCTACACAAATTAGAGAGTTCAGACACAGATAAAACATCAACTAAAGCTAACTGAGTAATGTATTCAGGAAGTAAATTTTGTCTAATAATTTTAATCTTATTAACCTCACTAGGGCATTTACTTAATCTACTAAAAAGATTCTCTAAAGTTGCTATAAAAATTAAAATACTTTCATTTTTTCGTTGTTTATAAGATTTAATTTGCGACCAAATATTGTCATCATTATCTGGTGGCAAAAAGTCTTTCTTTAATCTTTCTACAAGAGATTTCCAATCTGTAACATGTTGTTTAATACTTCTGTACCAAATAAAAGCATTCCCGGTAAAAAGTTCTACTGCGGAAGAAAATAAATCTTGTTCACTAACTTTACGTGATTCAGAAAGCTCAGTAACAGTTTCTAAAAATGAAAATAAATCTTGAGGATTACCATTAAATTTAATAGGCCAGTCTGACACTGGACAAGGTTTAGCAACATAAGTCACAATAGGAGGCGGTACATTAATAACTGGTCCTGAAGGAACAGAACTAACGTTTAAAGTTTCATTAATGTCTGAAGTTTTGACAAGCAGGTCAGCTTCAAGTTGATAACAACTAGTATAAACATCAGTTTGAATAGTTTCTGCATCAGCACGATTTTCATCTAAAATTATTCTCTTGATTCTACCAGCCAAATGCGCAAGACGAGATCTTATAACTTTGAACATTGAATCATTTACTCCACCCTCAAATTCAGAAATTGACAAGGAAATTGAATCTAAAGTTGCTTTAATTTCTGAAATTTCTTGATCAAAAGAAACAGGATAATCTTCCATATTAACTAAACAAAAAGGGTTATTTACTTCTCTACTTAAAAGACCTGACAAAATTTTACGTTTACTCTCAACATTTTTAGATGTCTTAATACCCCTAATAAGAAGTTCATAATCTAATTCTACTTGTCGTAAATGATTAACTTTAAAAGATTCTTTCTCCATTGTAATTCAGTTATATAAGATATTAAAGACTAAATGATTCAGAAAAATTTACTAATTTTAACAAAAAAGCTGTTATGACTCGACGCAATCTATCAAAAAGAAATTATGTTCAATGTCAAAACCAAAAAAGACTCAAATATTCAAAACAAATTCCAAAATTTTACGAAGTACTAACAACGCTACCCTGTATACTAAAATTATGTCCACTCTGTATATTCAAAATATAACCTTACCTGTATATTTATATCAAGATCAAAATTTCAATAAACTATGTAGTCAAAAGTATCAAGTTATTTATCTCTGAGTTTTAAACCGATAAACAAACACCCTCTATAACATAAAAAACAAAAATTGCTGTTGTACTGAAATTATAAAAATTAAATTACAGAAATAATGAAAACAAAATTTCAAAACTATAGTCTTTGCCTTAAAGAAAATTTATCTGAGCCTAATAGAAATTATTTTACTAAATTAAGTTTACCAATAAAAGTCAAACAAAATAAACTAAGTTGATCCAATTAAATAGAACATGAACCAATCAAATTAAGCTGAGCCAATCAAATCAAGCTGAGCCAATTAAATTAAGCTGAGTCCCACGTTACAGGGCGTCATATACTTTATTCTTCTATGTGTGACGACTTTTCTGTCGTTACCCAAATAGAATGAAAAAAGAATCCGTTGCTCAGGGTTAGAGGAAAGCTGGGTTCGTAGGTAAGGCTTCTGACTCACAGTGACTTTCTAATGTTGTTAAAAAAAATGATAATATGTAGGCTCCAGAGATTTTAATATTGATGTTAAGAATTCAAATAGGTATGGTCAAAGACAGTGAAAAGGGCGCCACTTACTTTGTTTATGAGAGTGGTAAAGTAAGAAACCAAAAAGAAAAATACGATATCACAACATAGCTAAAATAAAGTAATTAACAGCATTAAGGGTCTATTATGTTTATCAGGAATAAAAGTCAGAAATAACCGAGGGGTAAACCGCAGAGGAATTATGGTGTACACTATGAAGGAATTCTACAGGAATTCCAAGGAATTACGAGGAATTCCAAGGAATTCCATAGGAATTACTAGGAATTCCAATTATTTCCGTAAGAATTCCAAGGAATTTCTTAGAAATTTAGAGGAATTCCACAGGAATTAAGAGGAATTACAAGCAACTTTATAAAAAATTAACGAACATTAGTAAACCATGAATACTATAATAGGTAGTACTAAATTTAAAGAAAAACGTTTTGCAGGCGATTTTTTACTATCCGTTTTTCGTTTTCGCTTCCAAAATTTCCCAATATCAAATATCTACAGGTTAGATATTCTTTTAATTTAATATTGTACCCTCGATTATATATCTAAAATATTTTCCAATAGTACGGCCGAACCACCCCCGAGAGATCTACTTATAACGTTCCCTGATTTCGCCATTTTAAAGAAACCCTCATAAGATTTTTTTATTCAGTACTCCAGAAAGTGTAAAGTTGATTTTTTCATTTCCTCGGAATAATACCTAGGTATATACTATAGGGAAATTAATACAACTTTAGGTGCACTTCATCAATGATACCATGCGTAATCTTATGGAATTTACTGGTGATCGTATTATGACGTGCAACTGAAGTTTTATTAATTTCCTTTCCTATAGATACGAGTATAACTAGGTACCTATCATTTTCAAAAAATCCCGAGAAAAATTAATTTTAATAAGTAAGTTCCGACATATTTCCAGTATTTTCACCTCATGATCCCCTATTAATCCTAAAATTTAACTAAAAAAACGTAAATCTCGTAAGAGTACTTTTTATTGTTAGATACTTACTTATAGAGACATTAGACATTTATAAAAATCACCAGAAAATTCATAGCGGAACTGCGAAATCGAGGTGGCAACGCTGGTTCAGACTGAAAGAGTTACAGAGTTCGTACCAAGGAATTCCAAGGAAGACCTTGAATGATTGACCTTGACCTTGAAGACCAGGAATTCCAAGGAATTCCGAAGGAATTACGAGGAATTCTGAGGAATTATTTGAGTAAAAGGAATTATGGTGTACACTTTTCCCTCTGCGGTTTACCCCTCGGAAATAACTATCCTACATTAAACATTTATTGAAAACGAACACAAGTATCAACAATTAGTCACAGTGATCCCAATAAAACCGCAAGTTATTTTAAATAGATTTGAATTTAGTAACTGTATTCTTTGAACTAAGTAAGCTACTTGATAAAAACAGGTGAAATTTATGTATGTCTCAATACGATGATGTTTCGAAACATGTCGTGTACAAAAACCTTTAAAATGAATACGTGTTAATAATTTTCATATAAAATATCATATAGTAAGTAAGTACTGTACGAATCAAATTATAACTTATAACGTTACATAAAAATAATTTTGACTACAATATGTGGGATAAATAGTGATAATTTACCAGGTTATTAAATCTGTTGTCTCAAAATTATAAAATAAAAGCGTACCTTGTGTATCAAACTTAAGAGACTTATCTGTATATAGTTTCTTATGATGTAAACAGGTAGGTAGGTATTCTCCAGACTAACAGAAGTGGATGCAGATGACTATGGCAGGAGAAGTCTTCGATATCAGCCAAAAGAACGATTGTAATGTCAGGAACATTGTCTTAAGGTCTGCATAGGTCCACACAAAATGAAAGTGGGTGAAACATACAATAATTACTGCATTATAACTGCATACCATGTGGTAATTACTGAGTACCATGTGGTAGTTACTGAGTACCATGTGGTAGTTACTTAATATCATGTGGTACTTTTACTTAATATCATGTGGTACTTTTACTTAATATCATGTGGTACTTTTACTTAATATCATGTGGTACTTTTACTTAATATCATGTGGTACTTTTACTTAATATCATGTGGTACTTTTACTCTATAAATAAAAAATAGTTCTCAGGGCAGATACTCAATAAAAGAAACAACTTACGGTCTGAAAATCAGCTTTACATAAATATATTCAAACAATATGCCGATCCAAACCAGTAATTAAATACTCAAATAAACGAAGTAAAAAACGGAAATAACTGAAATAAAATTTAGTTAGATAGGGCTATATAAAATGGCGGATAAACTTACGGTGGTCATTCCAAGAAGAAACCAAACAAATACGATCTATACTCTGGATTGCATACTTTACAAGGTTTTCAAATCTCCAAATCGGATACCCATGCAATCGAAATCGAAAAGTGGATGCAGAGTGCTTTTCACTGGAAAATTTGTCGGACGCCAAAACACGCGTCTTCCTCAGATCCAAATTCCCAGAAAAAAAGGAAAAAGACCTTCTTCTCAGTTCTCAGTTTCCGAACCCAACTGTCATAAACGAAGTTTGACATCTAGCGAATAGATGCGCTAATAAAAATTAAATATCGGGACAAGGGAAATGCAATTAAGGAAGTTTGGCATATAGCGAATAGATGGCGCTAATAAACAAGACAAGTAAACTGTAAGAAATGAAGTTTGATATCTTTGGCATCTAGCAAATAGATGGCACCAATACTAAGAAATTTAAATAAAAATAGATTTTTAAATTCAATTTTATTAAAGGAAATAAAAAATGCTACACTACAGGGTGAGTCTTAAATAAGTGTAAATATTTTCAGGGCTGCTAGATCTCGATAAAAGAAACATATCGTCGGCGAAACGTGATACCCTGCTTATTCCATTTTTAATATGATAATAATAGCTCCCGTATATAGCGTTTTAACGCCTTGGGAGTAGCAAGGTACAGCTTGCTATACTAGTGCCGTTCGGTATACAAGGAAGGTAATGTGGCTAGCACTGCGCTTCATCCGCCTATTATTACCTCAGGATTGTGAATCCCAAGTACTCATTTAAGGCTGAGTCGACCTAGGTACTCAAACTATTTTTATTTTAATAAAAATAGTCGGCTGATGCAATGCCGGGTGTGGGATTCGAACCCACTACCTTGAGATTGGTAGATGAGAGCCTGTACCTCTACGCCACCGGGCATTTTCTTATTCCATTTTTGATTTTAAGTAAATAATACGTTTAATACATCATTTTTACGTAAAATTTTTAACGAAATGTTGAGTTCGATTGTTCCCCAACAAATATTATTGTTATTTCTCTATCCGGTGGCGTAGAGGTACAGCTCCCGTCTACCAATAGAAAGGTTGTGGGTTCAAATCCCACAGCCCGCATTTCATCAGCCGACTATCTTTAATAAAATAAAAATAGTTTAGGTACCTATGTCGACTCAGCTTTAAATGTGTACTTGGGATTCACAATCCCGAGGTAATAATAGGCGGTTGAAGCGTAATGCTAGCCACATTATCTTCCTTGTATACCGAACGGCTCTAGCATGGCAAGCTGTACCTTGCCTGCTCCCAAGGCGTTAAACGCTATATACGGGAGCTATTATTATTATTATATCCATTTATGATATTAACGCATGAATATACTTGCTACATGTGTACATATTTTTTGTACCGTTTCTTTTTTCTCCTCTAAAATTAGGAATAATGGAGTTAGCAGTTTATCACATTTCACCGACGATATTTTCTCTTTACCGTTTTTTAAATAAATCCAAAATAACAGCTATTTTACTTTGAAAAGTTCCAAAAAAATTATTTTTTGCTAAAGTTTTGAGAAGCACTGGAGCTTTTTTGGATTTTCTTTCTTGTAAATTTAATCTACTACCTATGTTGCCATATTGTCAACAAATTATTTTTTTAACTAATAACTAAAAAAATCCAAATTTTCATTTAAAAAAAAAAAAAAAATTGTGTTTCTGGGGTCGAAATATATTACCCTAAAAATATTTGCACTTATTTAAGACTTACCCTGTATCATCGAATCAAACATAATTAAAGAACGGGATTATCCTCCAAAATTTATGGAAGGTAAAATTTATTATCTATATTGGAATATTTAACATATACTTTGCCTTTGTAATTCCATGTGTTTTAGTCTTTGTCTCGGCTAATGGTAAATATGGTTTTGCCAAAGTTCTAGGAAGATAAATGGCGTGCCGTCTACTCGACATTGCGCCCTAATATTAATATTTAGCTTCGCAAAGCCTCGAACAATATGCTTCTCCCTACCTTCTAGACAATATGCGAGAAGCTCGTTTCTAAATTTAACCTTATGATATAGTTTTAGCTAGTCGGTATTGTTCCCTACATATTATTGCTTTTGTAAACAGACTTGTGATACCAGAAATAAATCAATAGATGTAGATCGATAATAGGTAGTCAGAAACATATGTATACTATATTATCTTCTATGAGTACAAACGTATACTACTTAATATGGTCTTTAGTTTCATTGACTGTGAATTTTGCCTGTATGAAATGCCCAATTAATGACATTTTCCAGTATAACTCGAAAATAATAAAAAAAAAACAGAACTGCAAAAACAATTTAAAGGAGGACAAGAATAAAAAATGAATTACAGTATGAACGGGAACATTAGAAATAAAAGTGTGTTATTTTTTTAATTATTTAGGCTCTGTATCATAAAATATATATTTGACTAATGACAAAAAATATTTGACAAACATCGTATAACGGAGGTTACCAAAATGTGTGATTTATGCTGAGAATAAACCTGCTAGTCATTTATTTTGCTGCTACATACGCTCTACCTAAGTATGTATAAGCGATAGTTAAATAACAAATAGGAAATAATATATCTACAATCTACTAAGTTATGTAATATTACCACAAAAGTGGCTCAGCCCTATAACTTTTTTTTTTTTTGTTATGTTTGTATACGACATAAATTAGGAATGATTGACGTATTCAATTGTTTTTTCTCACTTCCTGTTTCACCTGGAATAACTACAACTTTTGATTTTTAAATGGCACCCTCGGTATTTTTTTTTACTTTATTCCATAGAAAATGACACTCTGGACAGAATCGCATATCAAACGTCAACTTTTGACATTTGACTCAAAATACCAAGTGTGTGGTATCAAGTTATTCGTAAAATAATTCTTTTTCTAAATATGTTAATGAGCCACAAACGTTCAATTTGAAAAAATATAATAATAAAATAACAAAAGTTGGTAAGACACATCTTACCTTTCTATTGCAACAACTAGATAACTTAAAAGTGACGTCATCCACTTTATATTTGAAGTGTAAAACGTAGATATTTCCCAAATAAAGTACCTGGATATTACAAAATCTAGACAGCCCAGGTTGTCAAAATTATGATTTTTGAGATATCTAGTTGTAGTTTTGAAGTAGCGATATTATTATAAATACGATTAGGGCATCTTTAAACCGGCCAGGACAAGACACTAAAAACATTAACAATGTTTTATCATTTTTCAAAAAAAATATATTTTTCCAAGGCTTCTTGATTAAAAACTAGTGTTTTTAACATAGCCATGGCACTCCAGATTGAAATTTAAAATACGATTTTTTATTAAGCGAGAATGTCAAAAATTGACATATAATATGACATTCTATTCAGAATGTCATTTTCTATCGAATAAAGTAAAAAAAAATAAAGTGGGTGCCCATTTAAAAATTAAAATTGTATTAGTCATTCCCGGTGAAACAGGAAGTGGACAAAAACAATTGAATACGTCAATCAATTCTAATTTATGTCGTATACTAACATACCTAATCTCGTTTTTTTATCTGAAAAAATAAAAAAAAGGGTTGAGCCGCTTTTGAGGCGCACTCAGTATATTAGGTGAAATTTAAATGTTTAAAACTTGTTTTCTTTTCAGTTAAAGTAAAAGTCAAGTATTTTAAGTTAAGGTCTCTTTTTTGTTCAGCCGTATGATTGACAGTTGTCTAACGACTTGGCCATTATCTAAATCGACTCATACGAGATATCCGATCTTATCCGCTCTCAAATACTGAGTGGTGTTACTAGATGTTCTCATTCAAAATATATTTTACACTCGCACGATGGAACAACAGCACAACAGAGTTTCCAGTCGGTCACCCGGCGTTCCACTCGCATCCTCTACTGACACTTAACTTCGGTGATGTACCTTGAACTGGTGTTTCGACAGTTAATTTATTAAAATGGCAATATCAACAAAATTACGTGCATAATATTATCAAAATTACTAGTAAAAAAATATCAGTCTTATAATTTCGTTGCAGTTGTAGTAAAAATACTACTAAAAATCCGTTGTATGTTATACGGGGTGTCCCAGAAATGAGTGCAGATATTTTAAGGGGTGATAGATCTGGTCAAAATAAACATATTTCTCTTTACCATTTTTAAAATAAATTGAAAGTAACCGAGTTATTTAACTTTGAAAATTTAAACAAATAATAGCAACATTTTGAGAACCGCCGGCAGATATCGCCAACTACATCCAATTACCCGGATCAAACCCGGATTTCAGTTAATTCGACGCACCGTGTTGCCATAGGGACAAGAAAGTATATGTTAAAAGTAAGTCATAAAATCACAACACCTGAGGAGTTTTGCAGAGATGCATTACATTTTTAAGATTGTGATATTATTACATAAAATAAATTAAAAGTTAAATATTTAATAATGTGTTAAAAAATGTGTTAAAAAAGTTAAATTAAAAAACTTATCCTACATTAAAAAAGATACTTATGACAGATCGATGTAACTGTGACAGTTCTCTTTTTCGATATACACTTAACTAAAATACACTTCACTGTGCTGCTTTACTTGTACATGCTGTAGTTATTATAATAACTACTAAAATAACAGTCCCCATTTTTAACACATTATTTTCATATAGGCCTCATCACAATTTGAATCACTGATTTACAAAACACCTTGAAAAGCACACATTACTTTGAATACCTTTCTGAATGAATAAATGTTGAGAATTATTGTCTCTTACCGCTACTTTCCGAACTACTTTCAATCTAGGAAAATACATGTTTCACTCAACAATTTTAAATACGTATTTTGTGTTTTTTCGCTATTTTTTCTATGTATTTCAACAATTCCATCGACAGCCCAATCGTCGCGTCGGCCGCCGGCCAAG